CCCAAAACCCCAAAACCCCAAAACCCCAAAACCCCTAAAATGCAAAACTTGGTTGAATACTAAAATTATTAACCAGCAAAACACCTTCACTGTAACATGCCTTCATTTTTTGGCTTCATGGTCGTACAGGCCTTAACTTTCCTGAATAAATTATGTACTATGAACTCTTTTAAAACTCTGGTGCTTTCTTTAAGCATGCTCTTTTTGAGCTTGGCTTTGTGAAGAAATGCTGAAGGAGATGGACTTGGGGGTGAGATTGGGTGGAATTTTGGAAGTGTGAAGGAAGAGGTGAGTGGAGTTGGGATAAAGACATTAGAAGGGGTGGAGGTGATATTGTGTAGATGGTCAGAGTGGATGTAAGGACGAAGGATGGAGAGTATAGGAGATTATCTTCGATTACAAGTAATATATGCATAATTTTTAGCAATCACTCCTGTCAGTGTTGATATAAATTCGACCATTATACTTACAATTCAGGGATACACGTCATATAAATTTTTGGCTGCAACATTTGAGAATCAATGAAATAGAAATGCTGACTTCACTTGTTCTGCAGTATTTGGGCAGCAATCAGTTCTTGAAAATAAAGTGACAGTTGTAATGAGCGAAAGCTCAGGAAATTATACTTGTTCACACAATGTAACCAATCCAGGAATTATATCAATAAATGTTTATGAGCTTTCTCAACAAATTTTAGCAAGGTATTATGATAACACAAAATACGAAGGAAGTCCGATTGAAAGTTTTATCTCAAACCTCAACCAATATTGGGGGAATGCAGATTTGATAACTTCTCAATCAGACAATGTCGGGATTCTTTACAATTTCTATTATCTTCCTTCAGAGACTAATCATTTGCAACTATTGGTGGAGGCAGATGATTCAGCTACATTATATTCATCTGATATGAATGTAACAATACAAAGTGGCACATCATCACTAGTGCCAGTTCAACAAGGAAGGTTATATCATGCTCAAGTAAGGTATGCGGAATATAATGGAAAAGCATATCTAAATGTATCCCAATCTCATCATTATGGATCATTTTCACCTATTTCGAGTTCTCATTTTTATTATCCAAATTCAAGAATATCTTCACTTGATTTATCGATTAAGTGACCATCTGGGTTTATAAGTAGTTTTACAGAAACTTCTCCTCAATGAGTGCCTGCTTGAGGAGACAGTCTCCTTGTTGAAGGTGAAGAATGAGATGACGGAAATATGATAGACTCAGATGGGTGAAGCTCAGCTTGAAAAATAGAACCTAATTATGTCTGAAGCCGAAATTCTTCTGCTTCAAGTAATTCATGAGTCCAATGAACGTCAGGATATTATCAGAATTCTCAGAAAAATCAATGAATTACTAAATGAGGAGATGGACTTAGAGTAGGGGCTGAGGCCTGAGATGATGGAAATGTTTTAAACTTGTCTGGGTGAAACGCACACTGAGAAGTAGAAGATAATTCAGTCTGAAATGGAGGCTCAATAACTTCTCCAGACATTTGAGAAGTATGAGAAATTGGAACTTCTCCAGATAAAAATATGAATCCTCAAATTTGTGACTCTGTTTGAGGGGATAATTATAGAGTAAAAGATGAAGCATGAGATGACGGAAACACTATTTCAGGGGATGGGTGAAGTACAAAGTGAGAAATAGAAGACAAATGGGATTGAGTAGAAATAAAATTTGGACAACCAGATCAGTGATATCTCAAGGATAGAGAAATAAACCTTTCATCTTCTCAAAAGCAGCAGCAAGCAGCTACATTTGCAGCAGCTGGTGGTTCTGCCATTTCTAGTTTGATAACTTCGATATTTTCAGGAGGTTCCCCAAGTAGCTTGTTTTCAATCATTCATCAAGTTCAGATCTTGCTAGTTCTCTTACTTTGGAAATCATACTTACCATCAAAGATTCAGATTTATATTCACTCTTTGTCACTGGCCTTGGTGAACTTTGATATAGATTGGAGATTCTTTATAATTTTCAGAAAAGTTTATGAATGGTTCAATTATGAACAACCAAGTGACGAACTCTTCCTAGCAGGGATAGAAAATGGATCTTCTCTCTTAAATTTGTCAGGAAGTATTGCATTCTTGATTTCCTTTGGAATATTTCATATTATCTTCTCCTCTCTCCATTGGATCAATAAAAACAATCCAGAGAAGACCTGACTAATGAAAACTATTGAAATGATTGCTAACTTTTTCACTGCCGAGCTCTATTATAGATTAGTTGTAGAGTCTTTCTTGATGATGACTCTATCTTCTTTTTCTGAGCTTAAAAGAGCAGATACTGACGAAGTACCTAACTTCAATAGCTTCATTTCTTCCATTGTCATATGCATATTTGTTCTCATATTCATGACAATTGTTGGTTATTCTTTCATGGCAAAGTCAAGGAAGAGAAAGCATGAAAAGAGATGGAAGAGTATCTATAACGGGCTTAAAAAGAATGATGCAGCTGCCTTATATCCTTTTCTATTTTTATTTAGGAGATCGGCCTTTTCAGTCATTGTTATTAGTAAGGAAAAGTATAACCTATTTAGCTCTGACCGAATTCACTCCAAGCTTGAGCTCTATATGTTTCACAATTGTGACAGTAGTATACACATGGTACATTTTGATCTTCAAGCCGTTTGAGAGTACTAAAGATAACCTGTTGGAGATTATCAATGAGTTCTTTTACATTGGGTTTTGTATCCCATTGATATTCCTAACTGAGAAGAAAGACTGGAACTCCAAACTCGAGATTATTTATCTTCTTTGTTAGATACTAAATAATGCGATTGTGACTTTAATTTCTGTAATCTACCTTGGTAAGAATTAATAATCATTTTAGTCTACATATTCTGTACCAAATGAATCTGCGTAAGAACGAAAGTTGATAAGAAAACAATGTTTAGCAAGAACCCAAAGTTTGTTATTGAAAAAGCTAAGAGGAAGTTTGAAAACAAGAAAATAGATTATAGAAGATCTCCACGAACCAAAGACATTAACTTTATTAACAGAATAGCAAATAATCAGAGCTCAGTTTGAAGTAGAGCACAAATTACGGATAACTTTGGCTTGAGCGAGTCAAAATCTTCAATTCCAAAAAGGAGGTTACATTTCATCAGAAAGCCAAACAGACTGTAACTGTTAAATTTTATTGGTTAAATATTTGGAAACTCAATCCCATCCTCGACTATCGGGGTTTTGGGGTTTTGGGGTTTTGGGGTTTTGGGG